GTTTCTTATTGTGTTATGGAAAGTCAAGAATTTACCAAATAGGGAGAGTTTCTCATCGCCCAAGTTTCAATTGGACAGAAACTTGGAATCATGCAACTTGGTTGCATGATGAATGAGAAATTTCATATTTGGTAATTAGACTAATTCGTTGACAAAGTGTCAAGTGAAGGACTAGGAGATCGAGTACACAAAGTTGTGTGTTGATCAAGTTCACCATAAGAGTAACAAAGATATTCGTCATCATTTACTAAAGGTTTAGTAAATATGATTATACTTACAAGATTAAGTGTAATTTTGAATTGATTAAAGGGTTTAGATCAATAGCAAAACGAATAAGAAGAATCAAATAGGCAGAAAGATAAGAGTTTCTCCATTCTAAGAAGAAGGGAGAGTGGCTTTTATGCTTTATGATAGGTCTTAATGATTAAGAACCATATCTCAATTGATCCTCTAAGTGAGTCTTGGTACAATTGTATGTCCAAGAAGAGGAATCAAAGATTGAAGAAACGGTCAAATCAAGAAGTCAATCATACTTCGTTCCAATAACAAGTCTTAAAGTTAAGATTGTGACAATGAGTGAAAAAGTATTAAAGGTTTATAACATTCATCAAATGTGGAAAGTTGTGATGTCTGGATAAGACAGAGACCAACTAGACCAATTTGAAGTGTTTTGATAAAACTACACTAACTCTTGAATATTTGTTTGTCAAGAAATGTTTATTGACAAAAGAATCTTATATGTCAAGGAGTCAGTGGGAGTCTTAATGGTCTCGAAAAGTTTCAAGAACAAATCAAATAAACCTTATCGATCATCACTAGCACACGAGTTGAGGTTTACAACCTATCGTGAAGACATTATTTTGTTTCTGTGCCAATCCAATCGAGTTAATTATGCATGTGAGTCCTATGAGTTCTCATTTGAATGCGTAAAAGGCAAGGACCTTGATCAATGAAAGGTACATTGATAGGAAAAAGGTAAGATGCTTAACTACTTGGAAGACGTGGTGGGCAGCTGTGCTACCATAAGGCAAGAAATCAAGATTAAGAAAGTTCGATCCATATGAGTTTGAATTTGTCGTAAACTTTGGTTTTAACAAATTCGCATGGATAGGAACACATACACCGTTTAAATCTAAGTGTCATAAGATTTCCTCCTTCATGAAAATGATTGTGAGAAAATGCTTTCACTAAGAAAGATTTTAAAAGATAGTGATTGTAAAATTGCATTCTCAAATTCGATCATGGTTACGGCATCCCTTTCCATAATTTGAATTGTGAGGTTTGGCAATTAGTCTTAAGACACACATATGAACTATCTAAGGCAAAAGTGTATAAGTTCAAGAAGCCTTGATAAAAGATTATCAAAGCACTAAGTATTAAAACATGAACTTAAGAAATTCAATAAGTATTGTTTTCTGAAGTTAAGATGTTTATGAATACATGTCGAAGCTAGTGGGAGCATAAGTGTTATGTTTTATAATAATCATCATGATAGTGGGAGCATAAATGTTATGATTGTATGATTATTAAGGCACGTATTGCATAGTTGGCAATATTAATTATAGAAAACAAGAGTCATACTTTGCAAAGTTGTAAGAGTTGAAAGGTTGTTTTGCTATAATTAAGGGAGAGAATATTATGCTTCATTTCAAATCTAAAGGATTAGGTTGCGAAATGTTGATAAATTTAGTCAAAGGTACATAGTGTGTTCTTAAAATTTCGATTGTGATTACGGCATTCCTCTTCGCAATTCGAATTTTGAGAACATAGCAAATAAAACATTATGCGTCGTGTCCCATACGCTTCGGGTATAGGATCGATTGCAAATGCTTTAATGTTTGACCATTCTAAAATTTTCCAAATGTATAGTGCATTTAGAGGGAAAAGGGACTAGAATTGGTTTTGACTAAAATAATTAAACAACTATCAAAGGACAATCCAAAGTTCGACGAGGATTGGTCGCTTGTGAGTAGTTGGAAGTATAGTATTGGAAATTATGGAAGTGTTTCCATATTGGATGGACAATATCGACATCATTACGAATAGATAAGATTCTATTAAGAATGAGTTGTCATATGGAAAATATGGAAGTGTGTCCATGTTGGGAAGTAAATATTGAAAATCTATGATTAGAAACTTTTATGCAAAAGGATGTTCAAAGGAATGTACTTTGAGTGAGAGACATCATATCTAAGGAATTGTCTTGTAACAATCTCCGATAGAGGAATTTGTAATATCATTGGCAATAGTCTTTGAGACTTTGGTGCAGTGACATTACAAAAGGATCGTTGCATAAAGTGTTAGAATCTAGTATATTCTATAAGTAACAAGAATTTGATATTCTTACACTTAAGAAAATGGATTTGGAGTTGTAAAATGAGAATGATTGGAAATGTGTTCAATTTGTCTATTTCACAAAAGTAAGAACCATAGGTAAACATTGTGTGCATGCTAGGAGCATGGGACAAGTGTTGGAATTCAAATGCGAAGTTGATTACCCGAAACGACAAATAATGAGTAATCGATATGGTGATAAATAAAACGTGTTTTGTTTATACTCAAAGGTTTGAGGCCATATGGGATTAGTATTATTCTTGTGTTTCACCTTGCATGTTTTGACTTCCAGAATAATTGAGTTTATTAAGAATAATCGAATTATTCAAACGGGCCACAGTCGTTCATATGTTGGAAGTAGATATGAATGAAGACTGTCGTGAATTGGTGTGTGGATTGTCTAAAAGAGTATTAGACATAAGCAAATGTTTGCTGCAACGTTCATGAGTGCTTATGAATATGATTTGAGCATTGGATTAAACCCACGCTCACTTGGATCACTCCATGAATTGTATTACGAGTGATTGGTGAGACGATAACATCTTATATTCTTGAAACCGAGATGTGTGAGTTGTATCTTGCGAATCGGTTGCACATTGATAATATGTAAACGCACCAGTAACTTGGTGTTATAAACATATTGTTGTGTGTAATTCGGTGAGTGAGTGCAAGCAAGCATTGTATCAAAGTTTATCCGTTCCTTTTATCCAAAGTAGGATAAAAGCGATATCTTTGGGCCCCTCGATGGTTTAGTGATGACATACGTAAATGCTCGGCCGGGCTAGGGCTAATTTGATTTGTTCAGTTAGTCTGTTGTCATAAATCGGAAATCGAGATAGAGTACAAAGAGAATGATTTGAAATCATATCTCATACGATATCTAGAATGGAGGAATATATGATCCCTTATCTAAGGACACGCGTATCTGATATGATCAGAGTTGACAGCGGCTTTGGAAAGCTACGATTGCAGATCAGGATCTGAAGTCATACGCAGAATAGTTGTTAGACTTATCCAAGTGGGAGACTGTTGGATTAGTGTCTAAGTCCATAACTATTTTGGTATGTACTTGACCCGATGGTGCATGGTCCTTTTGGGTTGCCTTCACCAAAGCAACTTGATTGGAGAAATGAATAAAGAGAGAGAGGATAATATGATTTATTAATATGTTATAAGAATAATATATTAAAGGAGAAATCATATTTGTTTAATTAATATTGGTCAATAATTAATTAAGAATTAGTTTTGTGATCAAATGTAATTAATTAAACTAGAGGGGCTGATTTGTAATTATGTGATAGTTACAAAATAAGGTAAGGATTATCTTATATATGGTGAACGAATTTAAGGTTAAACCCTTAGAATTCGAGTATGATAAGGATTCAAGGATTATCTTATTGGTTGCTTAATGGATAATCAACTAGATAAGGATAATGACTGAAACCCTATCTCTACACCTATATAAACACCCCTAGGGCCATGAATTCGTGTATCCCTTCCCAAGAGGTCCTAGATACGAATTCTAACCTCTCACCTCTCTCTTTATACCTTCTCCATTTGCTTATGGTGTTTGTAAGCCATTAGAGGAGTGACACTTGTGACTCTAAGCATTCCAAAGTCAATACAAGGAGATTTGGGATTGTTATTGCTACATAACAATCAAGGTAACACTATAAACTTATTCTCATGTTAATATGATTATATGTATGCTAGAATTAGGGTTTATAGTCTTGGATTCAAAGCATGTACAATAGAGAAACCTAGATCCAAGCATTAGGGTTTGTATGAGCACATAGGATGTCTTATGACCAAAACCCATCAGTGGTATCAGAGCCTTGATTGGTTTCAATTGTATTGATGCTTGACATAACTGAAAATTCGATTTTTTTGATGTTTGGACTGGACTCGCCGAGTCCATGGCTGAACTCGCCGAGTCATGCAGACTCGACGAGTCCATGCCTGACTCGACGAGTCAACTCGTCAGATAATGCTTATCTCGGGATTTCTTGCTGTTTTTGCATTATGGATAGTTACCTTATCATGTTTAGATCAATATAAATCCGATTTTATGATATATATGACTATATTTTGATCTAATTAAAGATAATTATCAATTAATAAGAAATTGTTTCCTTATAAGATAATTGATTAATTATTTTGAGTAAATTGATAATTTTTGCAAGAAATCATTAATAAATCAAATATGGATAATTATGTGATTAAATGTTATTTAATTATTTGTTATTTGATCCTTGTTGTTATGAAAGTTTCATATTTCCCTTTAGGTTTTATAGTTTAAATTTGAACCAAAAGTTTTGGAGTTTTGAAATTTAAATAGTTAAAACCCTAATGTTTTGAAAAAGGTTTCAAAACTTGCCCCTCAAGTTTTGGAATTTAAAGTTGATTAAAGGTTTAATTAGAAATGTTAAATTCTAAAACTCTAGTAATGTTTTGAAAAGTTCAAAATCACACCCTTATGGTTTTATTAATTAATTAAGGAGTATAATTAAAAGAGGTTTAATA